CAGCGCGAGTGGCCACCAACCGCACCCTTTCAACTTGGTGCATGCGGATGCAACCCGAACAAAAACCGGGATAAACCACCTGCCAACTGCTGGATGTTGTCCACGGTGCAAGGTTTCGTTGTGAATTCCTTGTCATGCAGCAACTCGGGTTGGGCTTGATTGGGTTTACTTAGCGTTACTCGAGCTTGTCGGGCTGCTTCTCAACCCTTTTGGGTCTGTCTCAAAATGGTGGGACCCCCTGCATCACTGTGGAGCAGTGTGCCTAACTCCCGGTCGATTGCCGTGAGGCTCGCAACCATGATACAACCAACAAAAAACGCCCGCTTTGGCCATGTCCCGTTCAACCCCCCCCCCCCAAAAAAAAAGAAAAAGAAAAGGCGCGACCCTCAAACGCCAAAACAGGAGACCTTCCCCCTTTGGGTTTGTCTCAACTCTCCTGGGCAAACCGGAACCCGACAAAAACACCTGTGCCTCTTTCGATCTCCAGTCCTTGGCGCTCAGATCCCCGACCCGCGACTTGGCCTGGCGAAAGCTCCGAGTCGGGGCAGGGCCTTTCAACGTGTCCGTTTCCAGGGTGAAAAGGCTCCACTGAGAAAAGGTCCCCGAACATTTTGCGCCATGACAAACTCACCAATTAACAAAGAACCGGACATGCGCGTACACGTACATATTTGGCCCTCCGCAAGGCTCATCGCAGTCAGGCAAGTCGCATAGACAGAGCGAATGCGTCAAAGCCAGCGGACCAATGCAAGTACCAAGAACTGGAGAGATATAGATATACCGATTTATAGATACAGATTCATAGATGTTTAGGTGTGTACATATACAACTTGTGCTATATAGATGCATAGGTATAGACTCATGGATGTACAAATGTATAGACGTATAGATATATAGACAAGACATATAGATACATAGACATCAAGATACATTGCTATGTCGAGGCATATATGAAACATATTTAATATGGATGCTTATAGAGGTGCAAAGATTTGTAAGCAAGCATTCGTATGTGCACATACACAGAGAGAAAAGGAGAGAGAGAGAGAGAGACACATGTATGTCTACATATATATATATATGCACATGTCAACGTGGGTAGTGTATAGGTATTCATAGATGTATAGTTAGGCATATATGGTACCATATACATATATATATATATATCAATATGTGAGGCTCCGCAGCAAAGTCTTTCTTTGGGCTTGATCCAGCTCCAGGGGCCCCTTGCGGTATATGCGGAACTCTTCAGGGCATGTGGTCGACTCAGTTCTACCGTGACGTGTTTCGCCAAATGCCAAACCGTTTTGGAGAATCCGAGCCAACCCAAAGTGTCTGGCTGCGAAATGCCCTTTTGTCGTGCCTTGCCTGGTTCGAAAACAGATTGTCGTGGCTTGTCGTGCGCAATCAACTCACAAGGATTGGAGAGCGACTTGGGAACGCTTCTAACGTGAACCGTTGCTAAGCCACTTCTGCTTTTCTTTGAAGAAGCTCGTGCAGCTGCCACATAAGCACGTGCCCCCGTCTAAAGCATGTGGATGTGGTCGAGATGCAAGTCCCCAGCAAGACGCAGCAGCAGAACCGGACCCAAAGCAAAACGGCTCACTGGGCTCACGTTGAACTAGACGCAGTAGAAAATGAACACAAACGCAAACGTCACGGCGTGCCATCTTCTGAAACCGCTATTACCCCCTCCCCCCCCCACACACCCCGTCCCAATGGCCATCGAGTCACTTGCACGAGGATGGAGGACAGTACAAGGTGATGTCCGGACACATGTGCCGGGTGCGTTGCAGTCCCACAAAACATGAATATATATATATATGTATATTATGGGTATATATTTGTATTCTTATATACTGTACAGTCTTTAGAGTGAGAGACAGAGAGAGAGAGAGAGAAACCAACACACATGGAAACATGTCCGTCATCTTCAGATCGGGACTCAAAGGAGAGGAACATGCCAAACAACCAAGTTTACAAAAAGGAGTACAAAGGGAAGGGGAGTTCGAGGCACAAACAAACAAGTCGTAACTCTTTGACCCTGCTGGGCCCCCTGGTGCCTCGTCTGTGTGCTCTGATGTGAAGCAGCATGAGTTCGCCCCCATGTTTGCCTCAGGGAGCGCCGGAGGTATTCGGCAGCACCTGTTGAATGAGCGCCAGAATACCCGCCAAGGGGTTGCCCTGGGTCTGGCTTCAATTGGCTGACTGGATTAATTTGGGATGTCCAAAACCAGCCCTTACGTTGTTGGCTGTAAAGGAACTTAGCACGGGCTCCCTGGTTTTCAAGTCTTCTGCACAGCTTGGATGTTGGCAGGACACTGTTTAGACCGCGCGGCCCTCTTGACCCAGCCATGGGATTATGTCTGTGGTACAACTATGACATGAAGCGCTCTGTTATTTGGCTATGGCTCAAAAAAGTACCGTAATGGCACGGTAAATGGAACCAAAGACTAAAACCTGCGTAACCCTAACTCTTTAATCACACCCATTTGCGCAGGCTGAAACTCAACTCACAAAGGGAACGGCATCCTTGAACCTTCGGCTTTGCCTTTGGGCTCCCGCACGACGCGCTCACTCGCGCGCACGCCGAATTATTGGCTCCCAATGGGAAGGGTGAAGCTAAAGGACTGGACCTGATGTTGGCGCCTCACCTTGGCTTTCGGCTGAATGTCTTTTCGACTCTCGCCCTTATCTGTCTGCGAGCCAGAAATTCAGCACATCACTTGCGCATGCACAACTAAAGCGCTGCCACGTGCCATCGGGCAGGGCTTCGTCACAGCTTTACATCACGAAGCTGTAGGTCAGCTGATTTGTTTCAGTTTCTGCTTCTGGCGATTGCCAGTTTTTGCCTGTCATTTTTTGGGTTGTGTGGGGCTTTGCGGTTTTTTGTATGTGTGTTCTCGGAAAGGTGCATAAAGCCGCGGATTCTCTTGAGTAGCTGTTGGATGGAACGCTTAGGGGTACGGAGCATCTGCGGCTTTGGTCTCTGATGCTGGTGGTTGGCTTGAAACTTATCAAGCTCCAGGCTTGGCATGGAAGGTTTACGTGTCTGACTTGCGTCTAATGTCAATAGATTTCCCAAAACATCCTAAGAGTGTGCTTCTGACCAAGTCTGCATGGATTTCAGGCAGCTTGTTTTTGTTTTCTTTCCGAAGCATCTGCACCGTGAGTGTGTTCTCGTTGCTTTCAAGTACTCGGTCGCTTTTGGGTGGGAGAAATCGACCTGGTGCTCCATAGAGTCTTCTTGGGGTGAAATGTTTCCAAGATAGTGGAGCCTGGATCTCAAACTGGCTTGAAAGGGGATCATTGGGGAAGGAGGTGTTTGTGGGTTCGTGAGAAATTCATTGGAACACTGATCTTCGGAACGGAAAGGCCTCTGTGAAAGTAGGAAGATGTCAAGAATATTTGTCTGATCCGCAAGTGGAGATGATTGCTTGAATTGGGATTCGGTACAAATATGGGAGTCAGGTCTTCTAAACCTGGCACCTGGAAGTGGGTCAGAACACAGAACCCCACCGATGGCTTATTGCCAAAAGGAACCAAAATGATACCGCTCGAGCATACGTGTACTTTCCCATTTTGGGTCCTTGCAGTTTGAAGTTCCGCCTATGTGACCCACAGAAACACTTCCCCTTAGTCCAAACTTGCCAGCTCGCTGAATCCCGACTCGTCGCTTCGCACCTCCGGCAGTGCCAAGCTATCCGACCAGCCCCCCGCCCAATAGCCGAATCTCTTTTTACGCCTGCCCTTCACACATTTCTCGCCGATCCCAAATCCAGAAACACCCGTAAGCCTGTGCGGCCCTTGCACACCATCAACTAATCATTCGCTCGTCATTGCAATGTTCGTGGAGTGACACTCTTCTTGTTGGGGAATTGATGTCCATTCTGAGAAGGATGGGTCTATCATGCTGACTGATTCTGAGTAGTGGGTTGCACTATCATCTAGTTGCTCACCAGTTCCAAGACCAAACAACTCAACTGTGTAAACAAACACAGTCACGACGCCAATGCATTCCAACCTGCCAACACCTGCCAACACCGGATTGATAGAAGATGCTTGCAATAGTCCTTCCACACTCCAGCCATTCTACATCCAAGGGCATTGCATCAACTGCGGGAACAAATCTTGGGCTCTCTCAAAGGGCCGTCCTGGCACCGCGGAAAAAACGGCCGACGGAAAGACTGAGGGCTCAGCGGAGAATGAGGGAACTTGTCTTCGCAGGACAAGTTGTTCTTGAGGCAACCCAGCATTCCCCTTTGAGGCCACCCGAAGGAGTCCTTGTGGAAAGCCGATCAAAATCCGAATCAAGGACCTGAACTTTTCCCTGGGCAAGCAGGCGCTGCGTCGGACGGATCGGAAGGATCACAACTTGCAATAGATGCGCCGTATCGTGGCAAACCGCCGAACCGCCGAACCGCCGAACCGCCGAACCCCCGAAATTCGCCATGTCCCTGCTTCCCCGCTCATTTCTAGTGAGCCGAAGATGGGTCCATGCATGGCATGGTCTAGAATTTCAAAAACAGCCCACCCAGCTGCATCTGCTGAGCTGCTGACAAAGCCAGCGTTAAATACAGAATGCACAACTGCTTCGAATGACATCATCAGAAAACCCGTCTGGCAAATGCCGCTCTCATGTCAAATGCATCAAATAATTTGAATCGCGAGCTTCCCGCAAGGCATACGCACGGCACACCCAAAAACCTTCAAGGTTTCGGACTCCGCCTGCGAGCCGCGTGAGACACGGGCCTGCGGTCGCCCAAACCCACCGTCTTCGACCGCAGAAAGCTTCAATGCGTCAAGGTACACATGAACATTGATGAGTTGCTGATTTCAGCATGAGTCTTATCCTTGATTGAACACATGAGCATCCTTATTTCAGCTTCAATAGTTGCTCTCTGAAAAGCTTGTTGCAGCCGCGGAAAAGACTGAAACGTGTGACTGTTGCTTTTGGCAGTCGGGTCGAGGCATCTTGGGCGCTGCTCAGCATCTCCCGCTCAGCTCAGGGATTGCAAAGTTTGGCCTCAGCGCGCAGTCGCTCGCCACAAAACCACGGAGGCCTGCTCATTGGTGTGATTGTCAATCTTTGACACTCCCAACCTTTCATCCCCCACTGTAACAGGCAATGCAACATGCGGGTTGTCCAGAATAGAGACCAGGTTTTGGCATTTTGCATCACCTTGAAAGGGACCCAGGAAGGTGACAATCAATGCTTGTCTTCTCTCAAGCCTGGCACCTTGCGAGTAGTCGCCTGACGAGCGTGGGCGACAAAACGATGCGTGCAAGCTGACCGAGCCTATTGTTGACTTGGGGTTGATCCGATGTTGGTTGGAGAATCCCCATGAAAAGTAGTATGCTCCAGATCCATCCGATGCATGCCGCACAAAAACGAGTGACCAGACCTGCCAGCTGGTGCCCAGCTGGGGGGCACCAACATCCAAAACGCACACCAGTGCCAGGTTTCAACCGGCGAAATCTCCTTGCGGCTTGCCTGCGCCCTGGATTCACAGACATGGCGAATGAACATTCCAGATTTACTTTTATTCACTATCTCCTTGGATGTATCCGCCTGTGGCATCGGGCACAAACCCGCGAGAGCGCACCTGACATCGGTACGGACCCCCCCGAGTACTCACCTTGGCTCAGCGAATCAATTCGCGCTGGGACGGAATGCGCGGCTTGCCTCATGCGACGCAGCAAGCTCTCTCTGGTCCGTGCGCATGCCGCTAAAATGCTTGACAGGCGGCCCAGTGCCCCATCGAGGCCTTGGTACCTGCGAGGAGTTGTCCCCACCCATCGCACCGCATGCCGCGCATCACGCGACTCCCAAATGTCAGACCGTCCTTTTTCTTAAACAAGAAATCGCATGGCCTGCCATGACTTGCGTCGTGTGCGATACAATCCGCCTCCAGTTCATCTGCTCCTCTTGCCACTGGGCTTCCTCGCAGAAGATGGCCGCAGATTGTTGAAAAACGGCGGAGAACCAAATCAACCGGAAAGCTTTACGCTGATGGTTTGTTATTTATAGCCTTGCTATCTCCCGGATGCTGAAACCAATTCGGAGCATCTGATGCCTGTTGCCCAAGCTCCTTGTTTCCGGCAAAGACTTGCGCTGCGTTGACACGATGTCAAGCTTTGCTGTGTTCCAGCCAGGATAATGCACACACAGGTACAAAACGCAAGTGTTGTGGGCCTACGAACGTGCCGAGCACACTTTCCGTGTGCGCAGGCAACACACTGGACCCGCTCAGAGGGCTAGGCCAGCTCAGAGTCAAACGTACTGCAACCCTCAGTCATAAAACATACATCAATCCTCAAAATGTCAATCAAAATCGAATATGCATGTCAATGGTTCAAACCAAAGGAACATGTCAGAACTCATTCCGGACAGCAAAGCCGGCGGAATGAAGTGAAGGCTAATTTTTCCGGATAAGCCCTGATTCCAAATGGGCGCGTTGAAACCTCTCTGCCCTCCCAAAGTCACCCTTCCGTCTCCTTGGGCATGAGACAAGTTAGCTCAAGCGTGAGGCCGTCAAAAGGGCTGGCCCAACCACGTTCATTGACTTGAGCAACGGACACGCTTTGTGCCACCAACTGACCTGAGAATTCGGTGAATCATATTTTGGTGCACATGCCCCATGTCATCTGTACCGGAGATGACCGTAAACTATTGACCGTTGCTCATGAACGGACCCGGAAACTTGCTTCCCCAACAAAAGATGGGAAAATGGAGTTTCCGATTGAAAGATTTCAACTCTCCGTGTCCCCCCGAAGCCGCCTCAGACCCCCATCTCAAATTCGAATTCATTCGGACCGCACTTGGCAAGGGGGGTGGGTTCCCGTTGAAGAATGGATCCATGAAACTGTCTCAATGCCCGGCTGGCCTGCTGCCGCATCTGCTGAAGCTGATCGAAGGCTTGGAAGACCTTCAGCCATCAGATTGCCAGTTGGTGGGATGGGATCTTGGGCTTATCCACGCGCCAAGGATGAAACAGGGAAATCGCTGTGGCCATTTTGGGGTAGGTGCACCACCCATTTTAGTCTATTTCAGTGGGGATTGGGATGTTCACTGGGGGTTCGAGATTTTGACCCGTGGCCAAATAAAGCCTGACGCAACACTTTGAACTTGAACCCTCGCGGAATGTGGAGCTCGCATTTGAAACGACTGCACGTCGCAAGCCATAGCATCCTTGCCATTCGCTGCACACTCACACGTTTCATGGCATGTGTCTTGCTCTCACTCCTTCCATGTCCCAATTCCAGTACTATGATTCTGTCACATCCACACATCTACACACACACACGCGCGCGCGCACAAACAACACAAGCAACGCTGCAATGTCACATGGCGCATGAATCTGAGCAAATTAAACCTTCACCAACCTCTTTCAACAACTTAAATCGCACGATGCAGTTACGGAGCATTCGGCAGCGAGAACTCCCTCAGAACAACCTGAGATGCCTAGTCTTCTCCCCGTCCGCGCTTTCCCCATGCCT